ATTTAAGAAAATAGGATTGTCTATGTCCTTCAGAAATTTCTGTTTCTCTGAAACACCCAGTATGTGGAATGCCTTATTCCGAAAAAAATTTTTCTATATATCATTTTTCCTACCGCCGTCAATACGACGAATACGTAATCGACGTTATGAATTATTTTCTCTGTTAGCTCCTCTGTCACGGAAACAATTTGAATTGTTCGACTTCAAACTTTACTCGCTATTGTGCTACATTCATCCGTAAAAATATGTATAATGAATGCGTGTATATATAATTATTTTGACAATAAAAGGAACCGATTGTTCTTTAAAAAAAAATAAGCGGTAGAAGAGACACAGACCGCATCAGCTAATCTCTTAACAAAGTAATCGATCTCGATCATGAAAGAATACGACGGGAAACGAAAATGCTTGTTTATACAATGGCAAGAGAGCACTTCAGTTCAATTTTGTGAAAAACTTTTAAATACTGTTTCAATCGATGGAATTAAATCGAACATGTTTCATGAAATGCGCTGAATAACTCTGAATGCAGACCCCCATTTTTCTGTGATTTATTTGACATCCCGCAGATTCCCATATTTCTCAACAATTCTTTACCTATGTCATAGCATGAAATTTACGGTGTATTAAAATAGCCCACGAAGATTATGCAGAAAGAATTTCATGTCGATCGATGATCTGCCTTGAGCTTACTTTCAAGTTTGGAAATTGAACATAGTATTCATAATAATTTAAAAAGTGCGATGTAACGTGATGTATTCTTCAATTTGAGCCTTCAATATTTATATACACGTAATGCAACACGAATTGATATCTATTATGTTATTCGAACAATGACTACAAAGAAAAAGAAAGATATGCTCTGAACATTCTATCCACACCACTCAACCCTTGCTTGCACGACCAAAATATTCGTAATATTTCAAGCTCAGAAATTTAAAATATTTTATATAAATTTTGACACGTTAACGCGTCAAGTGCCGAATATCAACTCGAAAAATTCACTGGAAAGTGAACAAACTAGAAAGTGAAAATTTTCCACAGGAAATATTAGTTCAGCTATTCTGTATTCTACAAATCCTAGTAACATTCGATCTGTTCAATATGTTACAATAAAAATGAATTTCGAGAATCTAGTTAAAATTTAATTTCACCCATACGTGACTCACGCATTGAACGTATTAATTATGATTTTGTGAAGATTTACTACAGATTACTAAAGGAAAAATTGTATGGCTATCCTGGTATCCCGTCGTACATCCAACGGTTAACTCTTTGGAGTCTGATTTATTTTTCGTTAATTTACGTTATATCTGAAATCAATATAGTCTGAAGTCAGCTTTACGTACATGCAGATCCTAATAACAAGAAATGTTGATTTTATTATCCCTTTCAGACGCCAAGGGCTGGGACATGCAAACAGATATGTTCGTGGTATGCATTCTAAGAGACTGGTATATTCATGTATTGTGGAAAAATGAGATTCATTTCTCCCAATAGGCGTACGAAATAGCTGGGACACATATGTCCCGATAGACTCCAAAGGGTTAAACAATGCCGAGTAATGAAAAATCCGAAGAAAATATATCCAAACTGTGAAATATGCTCAAGAACCGTCACCGATATCGCAACCGTTTTCAATCCCCGTTTCAAGGTAACACGTACCGAACGCGCACAAAACAGAAGTTCATTTTTCTAATCAAAATTTCGCATATAAAACACCAACGGCAGAATTTAGGCGCCATCGCCGTAAACGCGTGAAAACGGAACCTAAATATGTTTCCTCGGATCCCCAGATTCTCGGATCCTGTCCACGGCTGTAAAGTTCGAAGTCGAGCAATCGGTGGCTCCGTTTCGCGAGGCAGCAAGAGAGGTAAACGCGAATAATGAAAGTAAATGAACATCGAACGTCTACCTTTCATTTTAATTTTCTTCTAATTGTCCGCGAGTTACCGGGCCGGTTCGCGGCAAGAAGCGCGTTAATGAATTCCAGCATTGTGTAAGGGAGGATGAAGAGACAACCTACATTTGTCCCTTTCTCCGAATGAGGTTCTTCCCGCGGCTGAGGAGAGGAGACGCTTTGCCATTGAGTAATTTACGTACCTCATTAGGCCGTGGCTGCGTCCGGACTGAAAAGCTCTCTTTCACGGGCTTTCGGTCGGAAAGTGGGGATGCGGGGCGGGAGGGCGCGGGGGAGGAGCGGATCTTTGGTCGCTGGGAAGGAACGAAAGAAAATGCGGGACGGTGGTGTCGGTTTATTCACGGCGGAAGTTGAAGAAGACAAGCTTTCTAATACGCTGGGCATTCCTTCAGCAGCCACGTCCGGAATACTATGGTATCATGCTGCCAAAAAGACTCTTTGCACAGCGAGGTCAATTAAGGTAGAAATATACTAATGCCGCGTGAATCACGTGAAACGACGTGAAATCGTGTGAGCCGATGTATTCTTATTGATGCGAATCTGTTAAAAACAGTTCAGCATCATGTCGCCCTGTTCATACAGGGTGGGTCCGCGCAACTTGTGCACCTCTTACAACTTCAAAAATCTGCGGCGCACGAAAAGATTTTGTACACAAAAGATGCATGGTTTGAAGGGGCGCGTTGTGTAGTGAATTTATCTTTTTTTTATAGATGAAGGCGTTTCGGAGATTTGAAGGTCAATTTTGCCTTCTTAAATAGATTACCATATTTTTACATCAAAATATGGAAGAATATTGAATTCTGAGTAATTTGAATATTGAATTCTGCTTGATTGTATTACGTGAAGAAAATTTTCAAGAAATAAAGTGAAATTACTCGTTAGCTCTTAGGTTTAGGGCTAATAAAGGTCAATATTTGTTCACTCAGAATTCGATGTTCTTCGATACTTTGATGTGAAAAATATAGTAATCTATTTGAAAAAAAACAAAGTTGACCTTCAAATCTCCGAAAAACCTCCATCTATAAAAAAATAAATGCACTACATAATGTGTCCCTTCAAACCATGCATCTTTTGTATACAAAATTTGTGCACAAGTTGCGTGGTCCACTCTGTATATTGTCACGTGTCGACAGATTTCACGTATTATTTTTCCCACGATTTCACGTGATTTCGCGTGACGTGGCATTAGCATATTTCTACGTTTGCAGACGACGTGTTTCGTCTCTCTAGACCCCCGTCCCCTCCTCCCAGCCCCTTTCCCATCCATCCGAGCAGATTGATTATTGATCTTCTAATTATTTCGGTGAGGAGAAGGTCGGCCAGTGTAACAGTTACAGTTACACGCTTCCGTTCGGAGTAGATCTCAAAGTTAGCCTTGCCTGAGAGGCTACTTTCTGCTTTTGACGCTTCCGAGCTGACGAGGGGCATCGTTCGATCGATACATGTCGATCGGTATGTGCTTTTATTATGATGAAAATGACGTTGGCCATTTTGCAGGCGAAATAAATACAAATGAATAAAAATGAGTGTAAAGGAGCACGCAGTCAAATGTGTGATAGTTAAATATTATTAATTATTGTTAATTTATTGCTAACTAATAATAAATTAATTATTGTAAGTTTATTGTTAATAA